TTGATTTAATTTAGATAATTCTTTATTAAATTAAATATATTTGAAAAAAAGGCAATTTTTTTTGTCCCCTACTGTATTTACATATATATGAACATGCATATACAATCTTTAAAATTTATGTTGATTATATAACCCGTGGAATTGTGAATGCAAATTTTAGGTTAAATAAGGTTTATTGATTCAAAATACTATTAAATATTAAAATACGAAATCTCTTAATCTACTCCTTTTAGCCACCAAAAAAAAAAAAAAAAAAAAAAAAAAAAAAATCAAAATTTACATTAACGTAATTTATAAGAAAATCTAAAGTTCATTATTATTAGGTGAAGATTTTGAGGTATCTTCAGTTCGAATTTTTTCTGACGGACAAAATAAATATTTTGCGGTTTTACCAACTCCATAAGTTGCCATCGAATCACAGACAAACATGGCCAACTTTCCGGCAAAAGGAATCGTTGAGACCCAGTTAACAAATTCTTCTTCCCCCTCTTTCTTTTCAATTAATTTCATAGAAATTTGTTTATTGATAATTTTCAAAGCAGAAGTCGGAATATTCGGCACCATCCTTTGCATAGTCATCATGGCCAATTCTCTCGCTGTTTTGGTCAGTGGATTCTTTATTCCGTTAGACGCGATGCATAGATAAACTAATGTTCTGACTGTGTCATCGTTGGTGTCTAAATTTGCCAAGGATGCTACAGATTTGATCATGTGAATTTGGATGGAAAGCGTGCTTATGGTATCGACAAACACGTTGGTTTTTTTGCCGAACCCGAAATTCTTCGAATCATGAGTCAGGATTGATGATGATAAGCCGGATGACAAAGAATTGTAGAATATCGACTTATCTGCAAGTCTATGAAAAGTTTCGTTCGTCGTGGTACAAATGGATGTCGATAAATATGTGTCTATCGTCTGCTGAGAACGGATTACAATGGAGCTGAGAATTGTTTGCAATGGTGAATAACGAGGTGCATATGGTGAAAAGTCTTCTTCGGATCGAAAATAAGGTAGATCTCGATCCACGGTATCATAAATAGTGTCCAATATTATGTTAGCCTTCAAAACATCTATTTCCTTTTCTTGATCTTTGCGGCGTGTTCCAGAATTATCAATATAGTTAATCAACTCTATAATTTCTCTTGGTGGTTCTAATTCTTCAAAAACCGAAGAGACTTTTCCACTTATGCAAAGTTTCGTGACACCCGCTATCCATTCTCTTAATTCGGTAGAAATTTCAGGGTCAATGTTTATGCCACCATTTTGTATTGAAGAATTTTCTTCGATTTCTGTTTTAATTCTTTCAAGTAATTGCAAATATTCACTTTCTTTATTTTGTTCGGATGCGATGACTAACAAATTTTCGGTTATAACGAATGTCACAAGAAATATGAGCGTGAAAAAGTATAGCGGAAAATGTGTAGAGACGGCCATGTGAAAAAAAAATTTATGTACAACATATTCTTATAATATAAGTAATGACGTCATTGGATTTTTATTAGTTCCAAATATTCGAATGTTCAAAAATGGGTAAATTAATTTCGATTCACAATTTAGCGTTGGATTCATCTGAAGTGTACCACGCCATTTCATATTCTTTTTTGGTAAAGCTGAAAAAGAGCAGACAATTAGAAATTATAATCAATTTTTTCGTAAATGAGACCCAATACGTACCCGCACTTCTCGTAGAAAGGTACATTCTAAACCATTTACATCACACATTAGAAAATTGGAAAAAGAAAAAGAATATAAAAAAACACTGATGAATTAATCACCTTTTCAGAACAGTCCAAAATAACTAGAATAAAAAAATAAAAAAGGAATGATTAATAACTTTCGATAATAATTTAAATCTTACAAAAGCATACCTTTGTAGCATCCAGTTTTGGCCCCAATATATTTTAGAGCCTGAATAATTCTAGTTACGGAGTAAAGTCAAAAAAAAAAAAAAAAGTGCAGCAAAGGATAAACAGAGTGATGATAAAGCATTACCTTAAACCAAGTTTCTTGCCTTGTTGACGCTCGTCGACAGCAATGTCCTCAATATGTCCAACCTGTAAATGGCAAAAAATTTAGAATCGAGAAAATCTTTAAACAATCAAGTTCACAGCAAAACTGACCAGTCCATTGTTATGTATGAATTTACGTTCGACAAAGATTGTTCCAGCCCCCACAATGCGATCTTCGGGAGAAACAATCACCACGGTAAAATATTCATAGTTATGTGCTTTCAAATAGTGAAACCGTTCTGGAGGAAAGGGAAGTGTTAATGAAAAGTTAAAGTTTAAAAGAAAAAAAAAATCCACCCACCGAGGAACTGAGCCTTGGAGATGTCTCCGACGACGGTGAGAACAGACAATACATCGAGAAAACCTCGTTCGTAATCGTCACTCGCCAAGGGTCTGATGGAGTATCCTTTGGGTAGTGCTGCTTGAACTTCGGGGGAGATAAAATCACTTGAGAAAAGAGTATTAACTGACATTTTAGAATGACACTTAAATGTCGTACCTGCTAAATAGAAGTTTGATTGCTATACATGATAATTTTCCTCTCGACATATACACATTAAGTTTGCTATAAAAGGATGCGATCATCAGGGTACTTGCAGTTTATAAGTAAAAAACGAATTCCTAAAAATTTTTTTAGGAAACTATCTAAAGTAGAAACTATTATTTTAAACCTAGTTCATATGCATTTATTTGTAGAATTACAATGTCATCTCTGGCGAGAATACAAACATATTAAAAAAACAATATTATACATTTTCTTAACAGAATTTGTAGAAAAAAAAAAGAAAATCAATCAACGTTATATTATGCCAAAACTTTAATAATATGCATTTTATCCTAAAACAGATTATATAGCTAATCAAACTTGTCATGTATCATCTTGACATAACGATGCATTTAAAAAAAAAATTTTTTTTTTTCTGTATTTCACACTTCATTCTTGTCAGGGTTCGATAAACAACTTGGAAATCGAGATCTAAAAAACAAATCAATACTTTATTCCACTTGTGATTTCTATGCAAAGATGCAAGAAACTTGGATAAGGATTGTGCATAGTTCTTTTAAAGCTTTTGATCTCTTTAATGAGCACGACGAGATTCCGCTATGATGTTGCTAAGTTCCTCGACTTTTCTCTTTGCGCGGGTAAAAGTGCCAAGCTATAATCGAGCGAAATTGTTATTATGATTCTGCTTGGACAGTATATTAAATCGAAAAAAAATTTTTTTTACTCTTTTTTTAGCCAATTTTCTAGCACGTTTATCCTTGGAGTTTTTCAGCAGTTCCATTACACGTTTCTCATAAGGAGCGTAACCAGCAACTTCACGAATTAACTCGCGAACGAATTTGACCCGATGAGAGCTGACCTAACAAAATTCAAGTTTGGGAAATTCAACCTTTGATCATCAGTGATCTATAAGACAAAGGGAGGAACTTATGCACTCTGTCGTTACACACCCCTTTTCTGCGGGAAGGCTTGGGACGAGGTTCGCGAGGAGTCACCTTATGACCTTTGTTTAAGCCAACGGCTAGACCAGACTTCTGTGGTTTAACCATTTTTTATAAAACAGGAACTGTGAAGAGAAATTCACGAAAAAAAAAAAAAAAAAAAAAAATTTTTTTATCAACCTGTATGTATCACGTGAAACAATATACATACACACGATAACAATGCTCGCACATGATTGTAACCCGAACTGATATTTCTAGAATACAGATTATGTTTAAAAACACTCTAACTCCTTTGGACGTAAGTTGTAAGCGGTTTCAAACTTCGAAGCCAATGAGCAATCACCGGTCGACCACCCTTCCGCATTAATTACCCATCATTATTATAAACGTACTCTCGAAATCCTCCTCGACGGGCAGTCATCTTTTTCTTTATGTCAGTGTCATCATCGTCCACAACAGTAATGATAGAAACAAAGCGTTTACAACCACAGATAGATGCTAACGACGAAGAGGATAGTCCTACGGATACAACTAACCCTGCATTTCCAGATGAATCTCCAACTCTCCCTCCAACTCCCGGAGATACTAATGGCCTAGAAAATTCTGACCCAACGCCAACACGTCCATTATCACCCCAAAGTCAGAGTTCTCAACACTCTACACTTGCTTCTCTAACACGACCTCCCAATAGACCAGTTCTTAATTTGCATAACACCGCCTCATCTTATGCTACCAATCCTCCAAATTATTTTCAGGTAACTTCTCCGAAAATCACACCACCACTCCCTCAAGCCAATGCGTTCACCACTGGTCCCTCCTCCCCTGGTCGATCATCGAATCGAATTGTAGCTACACACCCTATACCTAACCGCGCAGTCGATAATCAATCCTCGATAACACGACGACATCATAGCCATAATCATCGAGGAGAAGGTAGAAAAAATCACCCAGGCGAATCTAATATATCCATAGCAGCTCCAGTTCCTCATGCGCCAGCTCCATCTATGTATTGGTCGAAGATTAAAACCTTCGGCAGGCCACCCAAGGCACTCAGAGCACATACGGTGAATCTAGTAGGAGAGTCAATGTACGTTTTTGGAGGATGTGATGCACGTGTTTGTTTTAACCACGTATATGTGTTTGATGCAGGTGCGTATATGTGTTAATTTTTGGAAATTTATTTTCAACATCTTCTAACAATACTGTTCTATACTAAAAACATTTTATCTAATTTAAGATACCATGTATTGGAGTAAGCCGAGAACTCTTGGGGAACCACCTCCAGCATGTCGGGCTCACTCGTCCACACTCGTGGACAAAAAATTATTTATTTTCGGGGGCGGTGACGGCCCCGTTTACTATAACGATTTATATATTTTTGATACTGGTAAGCAATTATGAGCATTTTGTCGCCCATGCAATATCCTTCGGAGATGCAAAAATTAGAACAAGGGAAAACACCTCTAATTCATTTACCTTCTAGAAACATTGACGTGGACCAAACCTCAAACTTCTGGTGATATTCCATCCCCTCGCAGAGCTCATACCACCGCATATTATAATGATAGTATTTATGTCTTCGGTGGTGGTGATGGTGCTCGCGCACTTAACGATGTGCATATCTTAGGGATATCGGATTTAAACAACCTGGTATGGAAGAGACTAGAATTAAAGGGGCGGCCTCCAATATCTCGGGGGTATCACACTAGCAATCTCGTCGGAAGCAAATTGGTCGTTTATGGTGGGAGCGACGGTCACGAATGTTTTAGTGATGTTCATATATTAGATCTTGGTGAGCCATTAACATAAAAAACTTGATTTGACACATGAGAATGTAACCGGCCCAAGACTTACTCACTCACATCCTCTTAGAAAAAAACACATGGACCCAAATAGATGTCGCTAACTCGCATAAACGGCTTTCGCACACAGCAACTCAGGTTGGGTCTTATTTATTTATCGTTTGTGGCCACGATGGAACGCGGTATACCTCCGAAGTTCAACTATTAAACCTAAGTACGTCTTAAACAACCAGATATATCTGTTGTTGGCATGAATTTATCTTTATTATTCGTTATCATTAACGCGAATTTGTTTTTAGTCACAATGGAGTGGGAAACTCGTCGAGTTTATGGTACCCCACCATCGGGCAGAGGGTATCACACCACAGTATTGTATGATTCACGGCTTTTCGTGTTTGGTGGATACGATGGCCACTCCGTCTTTGATGACGTTTATGTCTTAGATTTATCGGCTTGTGCTTACTTGCCACAAATTATCAACTTTCCCCTTCCAGAAAGAAACTAATAGTTTCATAAAAAAAAAAAAAAAAAAAAAAAAAAAATTTTTCCCAAAAATGAAAAAAAATGCGATCATTATTATTAATTATTAATTATGTTGAATATTAATTGAAGAAAACCCTTACAATAGTAGAATGTTGCTAATTTTTTTTTTTTTCTAACCAAAACTTTCCTTATACAACTTAGCAACGGCGATTCTTTTCTAAGAAAAAATAGTTCTTCATATATTAATTAGTTTACTCCTGGCGCCGCGCTTGAAATTTGAAGGCAGGAAAAAGTTGACGTGTAAATGAGGTTCGGGATAAAATGTCCTAATATTTATGTATTATATTTTCTTGGGATTTCGTTCTCAAATAAAAATTCACCTTAATAATTACTTTCTCGAAGTGATCAACCATCATTTTACTGCTTAACGAAAAAAATTTTTTCCAAGGATGCTTTGATCCAGCCCTTATTTTAAAATTTCAAACTTTATTGAGCTTGATGCGTAAATAATTTGAATATATTTCCTTAAAAAAGAAAATAATAATAATAATGTATTTTAATTTAACAAAAAATAAAATTCATATCTATACTTTGTTACAATTAAAATAAATAATTGAGTCAAAGATATATGGAAAAGAAAACTTTCTTTAAATATTAACAGCAATCCATAATAACCTAACTGCAGATTAAGGAAAAAAATAAAATAAATAATCGAGCATTATGGTGCACTTTAATTCCAGTCGGAATTATAAACATTTGGTTCAAAACGCGTCACAGCACCTTACTATATGAATTATGGCATATTTTGAAAGTTTGTATTTAACTTATTTTATAATTTTCTAAATATATCATAATACCATTCGTATTATAATGCCTTATATCTAATAATTATTTTTTTAAAAAAAAATAAAAAAAAATCTTTTTTATAATTAATTATTGCAATCATATTATGATGATAAATTTTTATTGAGATATTAAAAAAACATTTACAATATTATATGAACTTTCAAATTATGGCTAACTCATTTTTTTTTTATTTTTTTTTTAAAACCCTCTGTCAGGCTAGGTATATATGCTTTATTAAACATATATATACTTTATATTAGAAAATGTATTACTAAAGTTAAGTCTCTATCTAACTCACTTGTCTCTATTTTAAAGAAATATTAAAACTCTAAATGCAACTTTAGAAGTGATTTATCACTTCATTAGTAGTTCAGATAAAAACCCTTTCAACTGTTAACTTTATTGCCTACAGGTCACTACTGTAGATTACCCTATAAGGTTCTGACAAAGTTTAAAATCCAACCATTTCATTTCATACTTCACTTTTCCTATTAGAATTTCTTGATAGTGGATCTTTTTTCTTCATGAGCATAATTTTCTGACTTGAAAAACATAGAGGTTTTCTTGTCTTGTTCTCTCTATTGATTTCTTGTATTTGTTTCCATTTGATTATCTTTTCACATCTTTTGTTCCAAACTTTTTTTCAGACTTAATTACAGATTTTTTTTTTTGCATTTTTATTATCCACTTTTTTGCTATTCTTTCTATACATTTACCTTGGCATTTTAGATTTATCATTTCTAGAATAATATTTGTTTTTATAAGACCAGTACAGAAACTTAGTATATCTTGACTAGTTTTAGAGACCTGTTTTACTACTTTAAAGATTCACTTGTTAAACTCTTCTATTTCTTCTCAATTATTGATGATCAACCTGTAATTTTTTTCTTTAACCTTTCTCTTTCTTTCCTATAATAACTCTTTAAAGTTTCTGATAATTCCATCTACTTTTTTATTTAATGCATCTTTTAGTTGATTCTTATAAATTGAACATTCTAGCAAGTGTTTTATAGTTTTATCTTGTTGACTACATACAATACATCTCACTTGCTTATATAGGTTTAGTCTTCTAATAACCAACTTACTTAGAATAGATAGCTTATTATTGACCAGTTTAATAAGAAAGCTTCTTTACTGGGATTGTTTAAAAGATGTATCACATATATGCTTATTATTAACCCTTTTCCATACTTGATCCTATATGTGAGCCTGGTATTCTGAAATCTGCTGATTCTATTTTTGCTCTATTCTATTTTATTGTATTCACTAATAGACTATTGTCTTATTATTAATGTTCTTAATAAACTACCTAATTGAATTATTTAGAGTTGTCCCTTATCACTTGATTTTAGTAATAATTTTATGTAAAGTAAGGTTTTTCTATTCAATCAGTAAAAATTTTAGAGCTTCTTTAGCTAAGATATTTGTTTTTTCATTATAAGAATCATTTGAGTGCACTTTGACTTTTGTAAGCTTTAGATCTATATTTTTCTTCTTTATTAACTCTACCATGTATGTCCAGAGGGACCAATTTTTTTCTTTGAGCCATCTCTTGTATATCTTTCTTGTATCTTCTTTTTCTAAAGATTTTCACTTGAAAATACATACTTGACTATTTGTAAAAATCTCTACTGTGCTTTCAATTGAAACTATCAAAAGTATTGTTATGATTGTAATCAATTCAACTTTTGTAGATAAGGACCACTTGTTTACTTCTATTTGAAACTTGCTTTCTTTTCTATTTTTTTGATCTGAATCCAAGCTATTTTCACTTTATTTTTTCTTTACTATAATTAATAAGTAATCCATCAAAATAGAAGATTAGCTTTCTTTAAATTTCAGATTACATTAAAATATAGTTATCAGATAATCTTGATATACTCTTTTTTTAATATTTTCTCTGATAATGGATTTTTCTCAGGTTTCAATATCCATGTAATTTACTCTATTATTTTGAATCTTGAATAAACTTTGGTTTCTGTAAATCACTTTTTTAATCCTTTTTTAAGTGCTGACCTAGATTTAGAGATTTTTAAATCTCATGTTCTTCTGGTGAACTTTTTTGTATTGAAATATGGTACTGTATATATCTTAGCTATTCCTCTTTTATTATGCAGTCACTATTTAGTATTGTGCTTTTTGAATATTCTAAACATTTTTGTATATTAGTCTCTTAATCATTATTGATACTACAACTGACAAAGTACTCCACTATCATAACATTTTCCTTTTTTTCATATCTTAATTTCTACCAAGTTACTTGATTTCTTTTACTTCTTATTACTATTCACAATTTTTTCTACTTGTCTCAATTAAGTTCTATTTAAAGTATTCTGGTTTTCATTTCATATAATTTTCTCTCCAGGATTTTATAAGCTGCTTTAATTGTTCTCCTAAAAGATTTTTGACTATAATTTGAAACCATTCTGATATAGATCCTTTGCTTATATCTTGCAGAAGCTGAAGCATTTGTTAGTCTCTTATTTTTTTGGTTTCCTGATTGATCAGCTGATCTAGATACATCAGTTGATTATTTCTAAATGATAGTATAACTTTTTTATTTTCTTCTGGTATAAGATATTTTTCGATTCAAATATTTCTCTTTTTTCATTTAAAGATATCTTACCATTTTCAACTATGAAACATTATTCCCATATCTTTAGCAATTCTGGTTACTTGGAGTGTGAAGTTGCCTTTGTCTGTTTAGTGATTTAAGAATTTGCAAATTAATAAATTGAGTATTTCTCAATTTTTGATCTGTGCTTGTTTGAGTCTAATAATTGATGTGATTTTTGCTGGTCCAGAATTATTTAATCTATTACAAAGTCCTGTCACTTAACTTTCTCTTTGTAGTATTTAAACACTTTTCAAATTATAGATATTTGGATAGTAAATTACACTGTTGGGCATAGATCTGTATAAACCACTCTTATTCTTGAAAAGTTTTCTGTATACTGTTATCAAAATGTTATATATTTTCCAGGTCAATATACTGTGTTATATTTTAAATTCTATTCTAGGTATTAATACTCTATTCAGAATATAGAGGGCTTATTTGTCTATCATCTTCTTATATTTAAGGGCTCTTAAGACTACATTGACTTCTTTAAGCACTTGTTCTTTAAGTTCTATTGTTGTTTTTTTATTGCTATTCAGATTTCTAAGAATCTAGTCTATTCTATTTTATCAAGCTCTTTAATTACTTCTTTTTCAATACCTATTTTCACTTTTTCTGAATAGTAATTAGAAATGTTAATAGTGATCAAGACTGATTTATTGCCATTTATTTGAAAATTATTGACTTTGTAAAAGATTCTTGCAGTTTTTAAAATCATTTCCATATTCCCCTTAGATCTTTCTATCTATGTTGTATTATCCATGAAGGCTATAGCTGCATGTCTTGATTCTAGCCTTCTTGTGGTCTATTTTTTTAGATCAGAGTTCTATGTAACTAATATTTTGTATCCTCTTTATATATTGTTCTGAATTTTGCAAAAGAAAGGATCATAAAAAATTTTTCAAAATAGAGATGAGATGGTTTCTCTTTGATTGATTCCATTTCCAGCTACTATTGATTCTGTGAGATTTTTTTCAAATATAACTCAGAATTCACTATTTTTAAAGAGGCTCATTATAATCTTTATAAAACCTTTTGAAGCTTTGATTCTTTCTATTACTTTTACTAGCATATTTAAACTAATTGTATTATATGCTTTACAGTATCTTGAAAAAGTATCCACAGTTCCTTTTTGTTTTTTCTGACATCTTCACAAATGTTGTTAAGAATTTGAATTGGTTTTACTATACTTTCTCCTAACAGCCCTGCATAGTTCAATCCTTTGAGAATATTATTGATTTTATAAATATTTTCTATTCTATTAATAAGGATTTTTATAAAATACATTCTTATGACCTTTAGTAAGATGATAGGTTTGATATTTGAGAGTTCACAACCCCAAGGTTTAGGTTTAGCTATAGAATATATATAACTTTGTTTTCAATATTTCAGAGTAACTTCCTATCTTAAGAAGTTATTTAACATTCTTCTCAAGAAATTTTTTCCCTCTTGACTTAACCTTTTCAGCATTTTATAACTGATTTAAGATTTTCCTAA